CCAACTGCTTTTCCTAATTTCTTCTCATGTCATCTCCATGCAGCTGTCATTCGTTCAAACTCCTGAGGCTACTCTGAAACCTCACCTCTATCCGCCATCTCCAGTCGTAGGCCCTCCAGATGTGCAAGTCTGTTACTTCCAGGCTGGCTAGGCAAGATGGTAGTTGTGCTCCAAAGCATCCAGTAGGCATCTGGTTGGGAGGGGTCCAACACCCTGAGGACACCCCTGACAGCTGAAATCAACCTCACTTGCACTGTGCTAGCATTGGTCCAGGCCTCTCCCTGTCCAAAACCATGCTATAAGAACTCCGTGCTATACAACCTCAATTCCCACATTACTCCAAGCCATGATGGACAGTAGTTTGCTTGATTTGCCTTACTGTATGATAAATCCAGCCCCTGTCGGTCTCATACTTTGGTATTTTAATTATGGCTTATTCAAAAAACCATCATTAAACGCACCAAGACATGTGCCCTATACCAACACATTCCCCCAACACCCTTTCCGGGAGAGCCATATTTCTTTCTTGAGCATGATGCTGGAGCTCTGCAGGTGGGCAAAGACTTTATATCTTCCACAAAAGAAACCTAGCTTCAGCCTACATAGGTCTGGGATTTCAGCTATGGAAGTTTTCTTTTAAGTCTGTGCCCGAGCTTTGCATGAGCAAAACTTGTATAAGCGTGAGTGTATATCAAGAAGCACGTTAGCATTCCTGCTTCTCTTTTGCATTTTCTGCTGAATGGCAAACTCCCGGATGCAGCATCTCATCCTTCAAGCTCCAACCATATAAGGCTCACTGTATTCCTTCAAGCAGTGAATAGGTTGGGCTGACAGAGAGGCTCACCCCACGTCGTCCCGAAGAACTCCCTGGCTGAGGATCTTCCCAGTCTCAGGCTGGACCTGGCAAAGGTTGTGCCATGTTGAAGTTCCTGCATGGAAGGAATGTGCTACTCGACACTGGAGGGCTGGGCATAATGCTGGGAGCCACTGCAGTGACTAGCTCATGCCAGTCCCAGTAGGATTTTTCTACCCCTTTTCCCCTCTTTTCTTTTGCCACTAAAAGATTTTTAGTCGCTGTTTGTAGTGGGGGGGGGGGAGTTTAAAATAGAGAAGGGTTCATGTGTTACAAGGGGAAAGGGCAAGCCGAGCCTGGCTTTTGACAAAAGCCCCCTTCACTTTGCAGCAAGAGGGATCAGCTGGACAGCTGGCAACTAAAGCTGTAGATGTTGCTCAATGGAACCTGATGGGTGTGTGATGAAGCCTCTGGTGAGAGGCCCGTGAAGGCTGGGGGGTTTGTAGAAGGCAGCCTAAATATGGAGTGTGCCACTGTTGGGGTCAACCTAGTTTAGTGGGGCTTCCTTCCGGATAAATACTCATGTGCATCTCATGTACGAAATGGGCTAGATCTTCAGGGACTGTTGGAAGCTCTAATTCAGCAACAACTGCCAGCCAGAAGTGGCCTATCCAAAACCTGCACGCAAACCCACGCACATCTCTTCCAATGGGCTAGATCTTCAGGGACTGTTGGAAGCTCTAATTCAGCAACAACTGCCAGCCAGAAGTGGCCTATCCAAAACCTGCACGCAAACCCACGCACATCTCTTCCTAGGGGGAAGTCTCATGGTACTCACTGAACTACCTGAACAAAGATGCTAAAAAAAGTCCCCCGCTACTTACCTAAGGGCTGGTATCTACTGTGTGGAAACTATGCCTTTTCATATTTCCCATCAAAGTCCTCAGGAGGCCCCTGGGCAGTTGGGCGTTTAACTTCATTTCATGCAGCGCCACTTGTTCAAAATTACACTCATCACAAGCCCAGGCAAGTGCACAGATACCATATAGAGCCCCCCCCCACACACACACACACTTGAGAGCACCTGTGATGACCACATAGGGCTGTTGAACACCAAGGATGTTTATGGGTTTGCTGTATCCATAACACCAGGTCTAGCAACCCGTGCCTAACTGGATCTCAGAAAATTGGCCTCTTTAGTTACAAAAAGCATCAACAAATCTTCAAATGCTATAGCTCTCCTAAATGAAGAGTAGGAACAATTAAGAACAGCAGTCTTACAAAATAGGTTGGCCATTGGCTTTGTGCTATTCAAAATGGCCCATGGGTGCAAGGAATTTCCAGGTATGTGTTGCTTTAACCTGACAGACAATTCCTTGCGTGTAAAAGCCACTGTGCAGGATTTAAAGGATCTGGCAAAACATATCACTGAACAAGCCCCCAGTAATCTGTAGAATTGGCTCACCTCTTGGTTGCCTGGAACTGGGTGGCTGAGAAATTTACCATTAGGATGCCTAGCTCTTCTGGCCCTA